CAAATATTATATTATAGTAGCTGTTAGTAAATAAAATTTAAAATTCGTAAATAATAGATATGAATTAGTATTTAGCATTCAATACATTCACTAGCAATCTATAATTATTTTATTTGCTTTGCAATAATATGATTTTTTTAAGTATATAAGACAGAAATTAATTATTAAAAAATGAATTTTTATGAATTTTCTTATGTGCTCCTACAAGTGAAATATATAAGATTTCGAGGGTAAAAAAAGTAAATGTAAATTTATTGCTTAATTATAACAAGCTACGTACAAGAATGTTTTATGGTGAATTAAAAAAAAAGTACTTAAAAATAAAATAAGTGAAAATTTGATATTTATAGCTATACCCAATTTTCATAGTTAGATCATTGATCCAACCTATTGAGCTTCACTTTGCAATTATTGCAAAGTTTATGCTCACTTCAAGGTCAAACCTCAGCCAGGAATAAAGGGATGTTAAACTTATTCCAGTGTGAGAGCGCCTCAAAATTAGCGTTTTTTATAACATTTTCCATTATGGCCAGATCGAGCAAAATAAGAATTTTTGGGCATTTTAAATTGAAACACCCAACATTTAGTTCGAATAAAAATTATTATATAGTGGTTATTTATTATATGGAGAAACTATTTAAATTTTTTTAAAGTATATTAAAACAACCGACTTTTGACCTTTCAATACCCAATAAAAGGATTTAAGGTTGTTAGCTCTCAATCATTAAATGTTTTTAATCATTTTCCATTGAAAATAATACTATGATGCTTCAAATTACAAAACCTTTCATCAAATACCTTTAAATTTCACAAATTTATTTAATTTTCACTGTTTTACATTTTTTACAAGTGGTATTGAATGATGCAACAAATCCCCCCGCTTACGTATTTTTTCGCTAAGATTTCAATCTGGCCATCGGTCGTTTCCAATTGTTAAACGTCAAAACCTCCTGAACTCGATCAACTGTCAAAGTTTAGGTGATTTTGACGTTTAGCAATTGTTCTCTCACTTCCAGTGAGAGAGGAGTTAAACATCTCATTATCTCTGCCTCAGCAGTCAACGCACAGGAGTTAACTGCTGACATTGTCTATGTTCAAACGAAAAACTGGGCCCGAGTATTATTTTCTAAAATATTTCTAATATTTTATGCACAAAATATTTCTAATATATTTATACACACATTTGCATAAACATACCAAAAACAACCGCAACCGTGGAAGGTATTTCAAATGGAGTTGGAATGCGGAATTACGATTCATATAAAACTTTCCTCGCTTTGCTTGACAATTCATGCTTTAGTATAGAAAAAGAGACATACCCAATGGGGTGTGTCAGAATGAGCGCTTGGCTTTCCATTTAAATAAATAAAAATTGCAACTGTGGTTTGGCAAAACGTTGAAATTTAAGAGTTGCTTAACATTTCATTTTGCTTTGCTGCGCTTGAAATGAATAGGAAGGCAAATATCTGCAGATATGAAAGTTGTATGTGAATCAGCTATAAACGTGTTGCCTGAAAATAAGTAGCAAAGTGGCTTTTCCTTCTGCTCTCTTGAAAAAATGTACAAGAGTTGCGGCGACAAAAGTTTCCTCATAAAAACTAGCTCTTATTGACTTGTGAATCCGCTTCCGGTCATTTTACTACTCGTACTACTGTCTAACATGCTGTTATTCGCTATAAATTATCTGTTCGCTAACGCCTAAAAATAGATTGCAGGCATCTTGTCCTTCCCTTGGGCCACTTATACTATCCTTCATTTCGTATCGACTTTCATAATAGAATAAGATCACGAATTAGTCAAACAGTTTATAACATTTCTTTCTGGGTGAATGTATTTCATAAAATTTTACTCGATTAAGCAGGCTGAGAAATTCATTAAGTTTCCAAAAGAATCTACATATCTTTATATTTAAAAATTACGTGTCACGTTGTTTGTTCGCGATGGACTCCTAAACTACTGAACCGATTTTAGTAAAATTTAGCGCACAGTGTACAGTTCGATCCAACTTAGAAGATAGAATAGTAAAAAGCATTCATAGATAAAAACTGCAAATGAAAAGCGGACAACTCTATTAACTGGACAGAAAGGCTGGTAACCAGACATTGAGAAAGCAGCCTTAAATTCGTTATTTTTTCCAATGTTATTTATTTGTATGAACATATTCAAAAACAAATATCACCTATAAACCCTTGGATTCCTATACCTACAAAAACGTTTTCGCCTTTATTCGTAAATAAAATTTTTACTGTATTGAATAGTTTATGATATGAATAATAGTATAAAATATATACCACAGCAACGCGTGGCCGGATCCACTAGTTTACCATATATTTTGAAGTACAAATCAGACTTGCATTAAAAACCTTATATTTGTCTTGTCTCTGCGCCAAGAGAAGCAATCATTCGAAAGTGGTATGTTACATTCTATACAGGTCATATAAACTTCGAACGCGGCAGATGCACAAAACAGACTGTTGCAGACTAAAATGTTAAAAATATCCTTAAAACTATTTAAATGATTGTTAAAAGAAATTGATCGAGAAGAACGACACATAAATATATTATACGAACGACAATCTTAAGGGGGGGTTGTAATCAATAAATGCGAATGCAAGACTTTCGACTTGAAATGATTTCAGTGGCAGTCAGGGTGGAGATTAATCATTAAAAAATTAGTTAACTACATTTATTTTTATATTTCAAACGCTAGAAAAAGTAATACTGAGACTGTCTGGTAATATATGCTGATTTGATTATCTCTAAATAATCCGCGCTAAGGTCATAAATATTGTTGGAGGAACTCTGAGATATTATGGACACACATAGATAAGTAATTGACAAAAATTTAGCGCAGAGCTAAGTGAGAATATAACTTATACCAATGAAGCTAATTAATTTGTTGAGTAATTGAAGCTTTAAAGATATTGAAATGATTATCTTCGAAGCAACTCAGCAAACTATAATTTGAAAAAAATTTAAGAATTGTGTGTGTTCGTTAATAGAAATAGGGTTGTATATCGCACAATCGGATAAAAATATGTACTAAGATGATGTTGTAAGATCATCGTACCGAAATATCTGATAACAAAAAATACCAAAAAGTATATTTTAAATTTTCAAACAGTGGCAATATTACATTTCGCTCAACAGACACATTTTCTGAAGGAAGTTCTGAGTTAAAACTACTCTATAAAATTATTTTACCAGACTTCATTTGGTTGTTTGAAAAATGAGCGGTAAGAGCGTCAGACAGTAAGCGACAGCCCTATTGTGCTACTGCATTAGATCTATTGTGCTCCCGTGTCGTAACGAACTTATCCAGCAGTGGATATGGTGAAATACCTAAATTTTTTCCACCAAAGCTGCTTATTGACTCTTAATTTTGAACTTTGCGAACCGGGGAATATATTTCGTCTCATAGGCATTCGCATTACTTTTTTTCCCAATTTGTGAAGTGGGGAAATTAAAGGTTGGGCCCTGTGATGTCCCCTACAATACCATACTACTAAGTTCCTTTTTGACTACATGTAGAAGGACTAAGCAAAAGTCCACAATCAACGCTACCCCAAAGTAACTTTGTAACTAAACCTGGGGTTTTTCTCTAGGGTCCATTGTTTCAAAGCCGCCTTGATCGGGCCACTTTGTCTGCTGCTTCGTTTCTTCTATACCTATCTCACTGATCATATTATCCGAGTTACCTACTGAGAGTCTAGTTATTGAAGGCTTGCATAAGCTTATGGCACTTAGTTTAGGCGCTACGGATAGCTTTAATTCTCGGTTGCCATTTATCGATTTGTTAATTAGAGCAGAAGCCAAATTGTGGTTTGCTGATATGTCAGACTTCACTTACTTATAACTGGCATAAATTCCAAATACAATAGTGTTTAATGACTGTTTCTTATCAATGAAATTCCGTAGTCGCTGCGAGAACTGTTATAAAACTGAGTTTGGTTTATTTCCTACAAATGTATAAGACGAGTTAAGTTAAATTGAACTGCCCAAAAGCAGAATGCTAATTTTTATACCCGTTCAGTGCACATTTTGCTATTGTAGTTGTTAATGAGAGTTTCTGCTGTACAATTATAGATGATATCGCATATAATTTAAAAAAAAAATAATGTCAACGAATATGTTTTGGAATGATTTTGGGTAACTCAGTAAATGAATTTTGTACTTAATATTTCTTATTATTGCCTGAAATTGTGAGGTCTTTGCGAAGCTATAAAAAATTAGTTTTACTTCTTTGAGTCAAGCGAGTTTTTAATTCTTTAATTAACTGTAAAAGCGTAATTAATACATTATGCATATCACTACAACTGAAACTCATGAAAAATGTGAAATATGTATGTTGTTACAACTAAAAAATAAAATACTACAAAGCAAATAAGTACTTATACCGTAGTTTGGGGCTACATTGACATTTTCTTATAAATTAAATGCTGTATTTTAGTTTTGATCAACACTTGCAGTAAAATTTGTAATGAAAATTGAGTAGGTCCTTGCTTTACACAAAAAAAAAAAAAAGAAAATCAATAATAATAATTTTATTTGCACAATTTTACAAAGGTATGATTTTAAAAGAGAAGTAAATGAAGAAAATAAATTTCATCTGATGAAGTTGCATAATGAAAAGTAACAAAAAAAGTTGTTCATTGACGTAGCTTTACAATTTAATAATCTCACAAAAACATAACAATTAAAATAGTTTTGAAAAGAGGCTGAAAAGTTATCGGGAAAATACTTGAAATGGTTAAATATGTATTTAAAACATCTTCCCACAAATACCTAAAGTCTTTTTACACCATTAATGCTAATTAGCACTTCTTATATTATTTTGATATTTTTTGCGAATTTCGACAAACAAATAATATACTCTATATATATATATAGGATGGTATCTGTCACTATTGAAAATCAATTCACTTACCTTGCTGTTGGCAAACAACAAACCAACACCCTCTAAGCACACCTGCAAAAGGCCACCCTCGCCGGTGTTCATATCCTGTACCGGAAACTCACCGCCCAACTCCGGCACATTCTTCGGCGTACCGCTGCGTTCCATGGACTCCTTGATAGAGTTATACAATTCTCTGCACTGCTTTGTATAATACAATTACAAAAACATGAATATGCATAAAACATTTTGCTTTATAAATACATTTCATTATTCGTAGCCCACCTTGCGCGTATAAAAGCGATTGAGCTGTATCTGTCCGCCATTGCGGCGCCAGAGGCAGAGCACTTTAGTTTTTGGTGAATATGTCATGTTGACCAGACGCTCGTAGAACCAACGTTCGACAATTGTGCCGTCGACAGAGCGCACCACCAGTCCGTCGTCGCGCACTTCCATAAAGAGCAGTGGTCCGCTATTATCTGAACCGGGATGCACGGTGAAACTCTGACGATGCAGCAGTCTCGAACCGAGCGGCTTCAGATCGATGTCATTGCCATTCTGTAACGTAAAAAGGTCACGTCATAATTTTAAGTTAAATCGCAGTAATTATGTGTATAACTACTCACGAGATTATTTATTTGGTCTACAACATTATGCACTTCGGTGGAATAAACCAAACCAATGTGACTTTTACCCAAGAGGCGTCGTATCTTGCGTCGTATCTCCTCTTTGTTTACGCCAAGCATTACAAGTATGGCGGTGAGATTGTATAACATTGTTGAGAGCAGCCGATCTTCGTCGTGCTCCAAGCGTTTCCGTTCCTCATCACTCAACGATTTGTAGCGTTCCATCATTTCGATGGGTCCCTACATAAAATTTACCGAATAATAAAGCGGAATAAAATATTGGAAATAATTTTTAGGTCTGAGTTAATGTTCTCGAGCGAATACCCAAACTGTTCAAAGAGAAAACTACTACCATATAATAAAAATTTTACGAATGAAGTCGAGGCACTTTACATGCATCATAAATTTAGATATTAAGTGAAAGAAATTAGGCCTGGATACACAAAAGAGCTATAGAGCCGTTTTGCGCTATTTGCGGATGGAGATTATAAAAAAAGGATTCACTAAACCAATTTTCAATCAAAACGTAATTTAAGAGCGAAGGACGAGTTCTGTATAAACCAGTAAGTTCCTGAGCATCTGGAGAAGTAGGTGGCAATTAAAGCGATTCGTGTATAGACCAAAAGGATACCGCTTATTGCTTTAGTGGTTGAGATCATCACAGGGCACTTACATCTGAGATCAAATCGAACCAATCTAACAGAGATGAGTAAGATGAAAAAAATATTAGGAATGTTAAGAAATTTCACCCTTAAACGCCTGACTTCAAGAAGTACTACATTTTTGTAAAATTTTCATGCATGAAAATGCATTTTTAAATATTACATCACGTCACATGTTGCTTTGATATATCCCTTATCTTTTAACTCAGTTGCCACTTGAGCGCATCGAAAAAAAAATTTCAAGGAATATGTTGTATTTTCAAGTGACTATTGTGAAAGTAATAATAATTAATTAATGCTGAAAATTTGGAATCTTCATCGTTATTACAATTTAATTCATGTAAGTGTTGATAAAAAGTTTACAAATTTAAATTTAATTTTTTATGAAATAAAACGTAAATGGTCTTTTGAGGAACCATCAGGTGCATGGAGGAACCGCCAGGCGTTTAAGGCTTAAGGAGCTGGGGAATAATGCTGAATGACACGCTGTTGGGGTCATTTGTTGAAAGAACGGCCAGACTAAGTATCTGTAGCGCTAAAGAGAAATGACAATATTCCGAGTGTATTTCTAGTATTTATATACTATATGTAACCGATAAAAATCGCTCTTAGAGTTTTAGGCCTTTTCATTCTTCAGTTAACATAAACCTTAAGCGATAAAAAATTCAAAAAAAGTTGACTCACCTGATCCATACCAATCATATCACGCTCTTGGCTCACTGCATCCAAAAAAGCATCCTCCCAGAATTGCATTTGGTTCCACAAATTCGAACGGTCTCTCCCAATTAAACCTTCGAATAGGTAGACTCTTGGGCTATCCGGCGATGGCGAAGAAGAGGTGTTGATTAGATGTCCGCCTGTATAACGAAAACCGGCGCTTAGCGTGGATTTGCCCGACCAAATGTTACCAGAGCTTCGTTTCGAATCCTTCGAGGTTGTAGTCTAAACGACGTGCGAACATAAACGAAGAAATCGTTTGAATGCCAAAAATTTTATAATATATATAATAAGAATGAAGAATATAAGTGCAAGGCAAAATGAGTAAATTAGAAATTTCAATTTGGTCTAATGCGAATTTAAAAGTTTTCTTCAAACAAAAGAATTGATAAAAGTTGGAGGATTCGGTTGCATTTCATTCAAATTTGTTGCATCACTTGCACAATCTAGCAAAAATCACTTAAAAATTACACTGAATATTTTACTATTTTTTGGATACTTTTGAAATTTTACTTACATTTTCATATTCGGTATCGGATACCGTTGAACGACAACTAGCGGGCATACGTACATTCAAACTACCGCCTGGCAGTAGATCACTAACAACCGATAGAGCACCTGTGGAACCGGCACCCTACGAATGTATACCACAAAACAAGTCGCATTTCAATTCTTTGTTTCGAGTTTAACAACAAACTAACGCGTAACAATTGCATCTACACACAGTTATGTACTATATGATAATTCTACAAGCAGTCTCAAAACATATGTATGTGGACGAAAAATACATTATTAAACTAGCTGGGATGTATGAAAGCATATAGGCTATAAGTAAACAATTTTGGATATACAATTTTATTCCTTAAACTACTTAGTCCAAGTCTAATATAATAATATGTTGATTAATCTTTCTTTAATTTTCTTAACCTGTTCCCACAATAATCACGTCTACGTAAACGGAAGTGTTCTGAATTTTTTTTAGACCTCGTTCTTATGGCGAAGGAGTTGTAATCACAGCTACCCACTAGAAAGCGACAGTATGTACATATATAAAATAATATATTAGTTTTCGATGTCGGGTTTTCAATGATGCAATGCTTTTTTCGGAGTTAGTCTTTTTGACAGCTGTTACTTGGTTTATACTCAATAATTTGTGTCATTTCATAACGAACAGACATACTCCGAAACAACGTTTACAAATTGTGTAATATTTGGTCGACATAAGCGCCCAGCAGAGTAGATTATTCGCGCAATCAGGTGTCGGTCTCGCACCATCTTCAGTAGATAATGTGCATCCTCGGTGACGCCGTACAGTGCGCAATGAAAAAGCTATAGATACAGAGCTGTAGAGCTATAGCTACAGAGAGAGCGTATAGCTAGAGTACAGTATTGAAGAAGACCCAAAATAAAACCTTCGCGCGCAACAATTGGAGCTGAACTCATCCACTTTATGACTGATTTTGCTGAAGGATCTTAGTTTGCGGTCTTACAAAATCGAGCTCGTGCAAGAATTTAAGCTGAACGATCATCAAGCGCGTCACATGTTCCGTGAATGCGCCCAAAACGAGATGGTCACCGATCCCGGTTTTTTCATTTTCATTGAGATAACTTAAATATTGGTCGATATATGCGATACAAAGTCATCTGGAAGTTCGAGAATCGTTATTTGAATTATATGGGGACTAAGAGAAGTATAGGTCCGATTCAACACATTATTCGACGTATAGCAATATCACAGTCAGAGAACGATTATGCCTGAATTACAGTTGTACACTAAAGACATTATTCGTGCAAAGTTGTATCCCTTTTTATTATTTGCTTCTTGATTTGTGTACTCGAACTGAAGGAATCAAGTGGACTTACAACTGTGTTATATGCAAAGTAGGCGTGGTTTTTGTCCAATTTCGTCCAACGTGAGATAAGAATATAATAAGAATGTCACGTACTAAATTTTGTCGAAAATGGGGGGTCGAGTCCTGAGGTATGGCAATTCATCAAAAATTGGGCGTTGCCACGATAATTTTCACACCAGCTCCCATAAAGCGCTCTCATACCATCTCGGTGGTAAACTTGTATGTCTCTAGCATATTTAGTTATTGATTTAGCGAGCTTTTAGTAATTTTTAACAGTACCGTTATATGGGGAGTGATTGGGGTTATCCTCCGATTTCATCTATTTTCACTCTGTCGGTAGAAGTTCTTATAAGAATTGTACTCAGGAAATTAGTTTGTTGTAGTTTAAGTGGTTAGGAGATATGTACATTAAACTTGTTAGAGAGCGTGGTCACGCCCACTTTTTCAAAAAATTTGTTCACAAGTGCCTCTTGCTACTGCGATGCTCTGTAACAAATTACACTTCATATCTTAATTTAGTGCACATACCAAGATTCATCGAGATATCTCAATTTTTACTCAAGTTACAGGTCCATAAGTGAGGATCACATACAGACTACTAAGTCAGAAACTTCCTGCATGACCAAGTATTTTGAGTACATCACAAATCTTCTTAAGCCTTTTTATTTATATTCCTGCCAGATCACCTGAATGACTGTAAGTATGAGATCTAAGCAAAGAGGAGGAAGGCTTTTGGTGTAAAATCTAACTATTCCTTGGGTTTCCGCCGTAGTATGTCACAATCTTATACAGGCATAAAAATAGTCTTGCTTCAAACATGAAGGCTTGGGAAAGAGGGAGGAAAAGACCCGGCACGAGTCTAAGCCAGGCAAGCTTCTCAATTTAGGAATTAGCATTTTTCTGTGTGTCAATAGAGATATTTTTACCAAACCTCAGTAATTTCAAAAAAAAAAAAAAACAAAATTATTAGAAAAGAATATATTGGCCATACCTCTTGTAAATTTAATACATTGCGATCTCTTTAAGTCTTTCCAAAATTGCCACAACATGCAATAATATTGTGATATGAAAGGTTATGTGTGAATTCAAAAATGTGAACAAATGTACAACAAAAACAATGCAGTCATGCAAAACAATATATAAATATACGTTACACATATTAAAGGACATACAGTTTAAAACATAGAGTTTAAAGCATGTGTAGCTATAAAAGTAGCCCAGAAAACTTACGTCTGAGTCAAACGAAGTGAGTTTGCTCAACAGCGCTGTGCGTTTCTGCACCAACATATCCTTAAACATTTCCGTTGTCGACTGTCCGTCCTGACTGTCGGCAGATGACATACGTCTGGCGGCCGCCGAGGTTGCAGCTGTATTAATCATTGGACCGGCACGATCAGTTTGCGAAGAGCCTTTCCGCGACTCTTGTGGTGAAGCCCACTCACTGCCCAAACCGGAATGCGAATCCATGGGACTGGAGGGTGAACGCAAATTCTCACGACTGCCCATAGGACTTGTCGCATGACTGGATAACAAACTTGAAGACATGTCGGTAGTTTCATTCAGTTCCTTGCTCCAGTAATGTGTGTGTGCGATTTCCATCATTTGAAATATCGAAGCCATGCCGCCAAGGCCGAAGTTCGAAAAAGACGCCTCAAATCCAACAGTCACCGCCTGCAAGCATTTCAGCATACCTTTCCAAACCGGTTTGGGTACGCACTGTGAAGCAAACGGAAAAAGTTATGTTTACAGTTAGACGATAAGCAATATAGTCGCTCAAATTTACCACATCGTCTATATGATCATCAGGCATGATTTTCTTGTCCAGCGTCTTATTGAGTTTACTAAGCACCAGCGTGCGATACGACTCATCTTCCATAAGTTTCTTAAAACGATTCATCTTCAACCAGCCCACACCTTCGCCAGCCAAAACCTGCGAGGTGACATCCTTCAGGAAAGCCTGATTTTCCGTATTACTGTGTGAACGCTCCTGATTTTGTTGGCGCGTTATGTCTTCCTGCGTCTGCCCCGGACCGGAATGTTTGATAAGTGGTGTGCGTTCCACCAGACCTTTGCGACTGGGAAAGGGATCGAAATTGATGCCTGACTTGGCTTTTTGCTGCAAACTGCCGCTGCTGTATTGTGGGTGCGGTGGTTGCTGCTGCCTTTGCTGATTTTCTACAAATATATTGGAGTCTATGAAGAACACTATCTATTTATATATGCAGTCTAATCAATGCACTCACTCTTGCCACCGAACATGCCGGAAAACATGGTGGATGTCGATGAGGCCAGTCCATTGAAATCAGTGCCAATGGATGAAAAGAAATTGCCACCGGAACTCTGCATTTGTTTTTGTGTGGCGATTTGTTGTTGCCCCACTAATTGCGATTGATCATCCACTTTTATTATGCCCTTTTTGGTGGCAGCTTCTTTGGCTGTCTTCGTTAAATCACCAATCGTTGACTTGCTGACATAGGTTAAGTCGTCGAAGGTGTGCTTACTTACGCCCGCGGCCTGCTTGGAGACTTCTAGAGCTTGTTTCGATGCTTCGCCGGCAGCTTTTTTGGCGTGCAAGGTAAACTATACAAGTATGAGGAAATAATTAGTGAAAACCAGGTAGATAACATTTCATTTCAATAAGGCTGGGAAATTAAAATCGGTATTGAGATGAGTTCTCGAAGCACAGGAAAATAATGTCGAAAAAGTATGTGAAATCTCTTACAAAAGGACTACGAAGTGTTAAAAACTCTATTATGGTGTATATTTAATAAATTATATTTTAATGCTTCGTGCGTGAGGTGAAAAGTGAAAAAGCGCCGAAAGAATTGGTTTTTATATGTACTAGCTTCAAATTCTAAATGGAAATCTATGATTGAATTTACGCGATCTAATGTCTAGTAAATATGTAAATGCAAAAGGTGTGTGGGAGCATATAAAGTGAGATCTTTTAGAAAATCTTTGAATTTTTTTTGTTAATTTGCTTGGTGATTCGTCCAATATGTTTTCAATTTTCAATCCAAACCTATTTCCTAGTGCGAAAAATTTAATTTTGAATTTGACACTCTAATTTACAAACCTTTTCAAAAGTGTGTCGCACTTTTTCGTCTAACTCTTCGGGTATACTACCTTCCATTGAATGTTGCTAGTAGTTCAGAAATCAAAAGTTTATTTTAAATTATACAAAAAATTAACGAAGTAAAAAGTAAAAGTATAAATTATATAGCCGGGACCGAAATATATTATTATATTCGCATCCTAAAACTTGCTCTAAACCGCTGAAACTCCGTTAGAACACTTTTGAATTCGTAGAAATTTTAAATAGGTCGTTAATCGACTGACAATTTCAAAACCCCGCCAAAAAATGTGTCGGAAAAATCCATCATCCTGAAAGATATGGTCTCAAATTTGTATACCTACACATTTGGCATACACTTCGAAAGCACATGACCCCATACAATATATATAAMAAAACCGGAGCCATATTTAAGAAAATATAGGGCACTGAAATCAACTTGGATCATAACATGATCAATTGCACTGAAAGCTTTCTAACTAACACTCTGCTTAACAAAATCGTACGAGAAGACTTAAAAACGGACAGACATCGAATGCCTTCACCAGCGCTGTTCAAGGGAATGATGCCTTGGTAGTTAAAAACCATGCATTGCAGATGGAGAGCTCGAGTTGTCTCGCGAAACTAAAGAACTCTTGTAAATTGCAATCTGAAAAAAATCAGTGATTATGCTCCTACTTATTCAAAAGTCGCCTTTTGGCGCAAATCTCCAAACGCTCGGTTTAATAAAAAAATCTTCGCGTAAGATTTATCAATCATATAAGTTTTAATAATAATAAAGGTTTTCTACATATTAGCTTATAAAGCTCACTGACTTGTTGTTCGATATACATATATGTATATATCTTCTAAAAAAGTGATTGAAGCTGTCGTTCAAATGTTGAGAAGAATACTCAAACAACTTTAATTTTTGGTTGCTGTAATTACTCTTTTTGGCCCCGGTTGATTAAAAAAAAAATCGCAGAAAAATTTTAGAAAGTGTCTCAAGTATTAGAAAAGTCAATATTCTACAAACTTACTTTGTCCACTTGAGCTAAGAGACCCTCTTGACTGCTCTGGCGCGTTGTTTCGCGCACCAGCTCCTTTGCGTGCGAAGCGAAATTTTCAAAAAGTGAGCCTTGTGAACCCTGTCTGCCAGGACTACTCGAACTTGAACCAGAGCTGCCGGTGCGCGCAAGAATATTGGACACAGGTGGTGTTATTGGAGGCTGTAAATATGTATTTACTGTAGTGGAGTTACAAAAATATATTTAAAGTGTTGGAAATTGATTTACCGGACGCTTTTTGTCAACGCCGCTGTGATCTGCTTCGCCAGCATGACGCTGCTGTTGCTGTTGGTGATGTTGTAGCTGTTGTTTATGTGCGGATACCGGAGATTTTCTTGGTTCTCCAGCTTCAGTGGCTTCGTTATCAATACTCGCAGCACGCAACGTCGCCTCAAGGCGTTGTGCCGCAGGCGCTGCTAAATCGAAAGGACCAGTTGCTGATTTAGTTGGAAATTCGAATTCCGAATCGCGACTGGGCGAACTTAGATCGGAGCGACTGGATGAGGATGAAATTGGCGATTCAGCGCGTTGAGCTTCTTCATCTTCGCTAATCTCGATTTTCTTAGACATGCTTTCTGGATACTGCAAGGTTCTAGGTGGATGGTAAACTAAAGCGGGATCTAGATTAGATGAAAGTGTTTGTGGCACATTATGCGGTCGATTATGTGCACCGAAAACATCATGTATACTCGGCGACAAATCTGATGATACCATTTCCGAAACAAAATCACTAAGCGAGGAATAAGAGGAACTTGAACTCTCTGCACCTTCCGAATCGGAACCGCTTTCATCGGTTGGCTGACATTCCAACTGTTTCAATGAACGTAGTGCGCCATTTAGTGAGCTACCATCATCCCAGACAGAAAAGCGTATAGGCGTAAGTTGGTGTGCAAACCATTTGGGCTTATCGCCAACCTGACCTGGATCCATAACGCCAGTTTGTACCCGTAAGAAGGCCACATTAGTGGGTGTCAATGACCACTCTGCGAGGAACTCTACAGCTTGTGTGCGTGCAAACTGATTAAGGAACTGTGTTGCACGTGGACGTGAACGTAGGAAACTGTTGATTTGGAAGGCGACCACTGGTCGTGGATAAAGACGCAATGTACGAGTATGCTCGGCAAAGTTAGCGAGAGTATTTTGCGCGTTGAAAAACCGTACCTGCAAAGAAATTTGGTTAAGAACCGACTCAATAACGCAACACACATTTTATTCGTACCATTGCAACGCGCGTGGCGACGTCTACGGAGTCAACGTCAGTGCCATAAATGAATGGATTCAAAGCAGGTGAATTCATTGGACTCGGCTGTCGTGAGTGCGAACCTTGAGCCGACATCGAGCTGCGTTGACTTGCATACGCAGACTGTGTGGGCGATTGGAGAGGCAAGCGCACTTGCGAGACCCTTAAAATACATTAAATTTATTAGTGCTGAATTTCCATTGATTTCATATTGCTAAAACTCACCCCAGTAAAGTTGGCTCTGTGAGACTGTCACGCACCGACGGCAAGAGCTGTTGTGCTGAAATGGCCTGATTGGACGCTGACATAGAAGATAGCGCCTGATATGGGAAGTATATAAATTTAATAACCCGCAAATCAAATATATAATGTGTTTGTATTTGGGTATATCTTGGATATTCTTGGGTAAATAATATTAGGAAATTTTATACGGTTATTACAACTGAATTAAACGGAGTAACAAGAACATTACGAAAACAAAACTTAGGTACAAATATGTTTTTATGAGCAAAATTAAGTCTGGAGTGACAAGCAATCGAATATGGAAACTTAGTCGAAGTCTAAAATTTGAAAATGGATAGATGATTTGGGAATGGATGCTTTTAGCGCTGAGATTTTTTTATTAACGGATACTTGAAATGGTTTTATAACAAAAGACAAAATAAAAATTCAAAGTAAATAGTGCTATATCAGAAACTATTTCTGAAATAAGCTAAGAGAGGAGTTTGTAGAGAATATTTAGTAAAAACTTAAACTTATTTCTATTAAGAATATTTCAAGTTACTGCACATAGTAAAGAGCCAAATTTATTATGAGATATATTTTCGAAAAGCATTTCAATCTGTTAGTTTCTGCACAAAACCTTCTGTTGGACTCCTACTTCAAACAAGTTTATAGCTAATATCTGTGCATCTCCATATTGAAGTTTTGGAAAATTATCACTACTAATATAAATAACTCTGGGCAATAAATAGTAAGATTGCGATTTGAAATTTGAAATTTGAGCGAAAATCACTGTCAGTGACATCTGTACCAAATGTCACATCAAAACAATTATTATTGTTTAGTATAGGCTTGTCTTTCTGATGTACATAAATTGCATTCGGCGGTTTTTATTATGAGTGAAATTATTCAACATAAAAGTTCCATTAAATTTTATGTTCGATATCGCATTTCTAATGCCGCAACGATCAGAATGTTGTCGAGAGCAAGTGTTTTTGATTGATATAAATTGTGCGAAGAAGATAGCAACGTCCAGGACGTCCTTAAACTCCAACACGTCCACAAAATAAAGGAACTAATACTTAAGAAACAACATAATCGCTTGAACGTCTTTGAAAACGGAGATTTCCGACTATTAAAATCTCTTGAAACGTATTATTCCTGACGATGAGTCTTGGATCTATGTTTATGGCGAAACAGAGGATCAATCGAATATCTTGTCAAAGGTGAGACGAAGGCGATAAAACCCACTGCAAAGCAAATGAAAAATCAGATTTTTTTGGTTCTATCGGAACTTAATTGTCTGTAAACGCCAATACCATTTTATGCTCTGGTGAAGAGAGAGAAAAACTGAATATTTGTAATTCTTCAATAAGCCTCAAATTTCATCTAACTCAAACCAAAAATACATATTCAGCTGCATTTAAAAACGAAGTTGGTTCTATTAATATGGCAGCACTTTTATATTAATACAGAGTAATTACGATATATAGGATAACTTATTCTTCTAAAATTAAAGAGTAAACAGGTTTCTTTACAAAACATCAACAAAACTATGCATATCGAACACAAACCTTTTCCGAAGAAAAAGAAAACTACATACATATTAACGAAAGGAAAGTTCGTGTACTTATGTAATTTCATGAAAACGCATGCCAACTTAATAAACAGTTAATGAAATGTTCACGATTTTTCCTTTCATAAGTGTTAGATGACAAATAAAAGATATTTACACCGAGTCCAGCTTCATCCATAAGTTGCATAGCCTGTGTTCATGTAATAAAATTTCGAAAAGAAAATAGTTTGTATAAGAATAATAAACGTAGTCACTGTACATGTAGTATGTAGTGAATGAGATAATAGTAATAGCAGTAGATTAATGATATAGTTAGCGTGAAAGAGATAGCAAAAGTATAATAAGCTTAATGGGTGTGGCGTTAGGATCAATTATTTTGAGTGAATACATATATTATCGTCCAATATAGTTTCAGAAACCCTTATTTAACAAAGTTAACTTGAACTCAAGACTTAGTAATATTTTTAGTTATAAATTTATAAAAAAATATATATGTATAAATGAGACCACGTTGTTGGCAACATTCAAATCAATCGGCCGGCCAGACTTGTCAGAACACTGCATTCACCTGTCTAGAGCGTCGAGAGGTCCTCATCATTGCCGACATAAAACAATACGTTGAACAGAGTTCGGACGCAACTGACTTCATATATGCATTGACCGCCATTTACAGTGAGCCATTAACACCTTCACCGACTCCATCTGAATGAATGGCGTGCTTGGAGTCGAACTACCACCCACTGAGTACAAAGAGCTCGCGAGAATCGAGAGCGAACCGTTACAACAACAACAACAGCTGTCATATAAACTGAAAACTTTTTCATTTGACGTGATGTCTTCTCGACATTCGGCATGTCTTATTGCCCAAGACAGTTGTGCAGAGAAATTGTGCAGACTGCATCACTACAGCATATAGCTGTCGTTCAAAATCTAATCCTTGACTAATGACTGATTATTTATATTCAAACCTTACAGCCTTCACAAACATTTTAAAAAGCAATAAATTCAATTCTTTGTGTACTCTTTAAATATAAAGAAACAAACGTTAAAAAATTTATTGTAATAATATCAAATGTTTTTATTTTATCAATTAACAAAAAACACTCGGCAATCAGGTCTCTAGACTACAGTAGTATTTAATCTTAACGCCTCACCCTCTATCTAAAATGAACCGATTGCGTTAGTAATATTTTATTAGTTTAAATAATATTTCTTAGGAATAGCAATGTTATTGATACTAATGACGATTTTATACATAATGAGTTTATTGAACAACAATTTGTAATGGTATGTAATGTATTAAAGAAAATAATCTTAAAAACTGAAAGGCAACATTTAATATTAAAAGAAAAGACAATAAAATTAGTGTACAAAAAATACTGTATATACATCAATGAACGTAAAAGTATATAAATTACAAAAAAAAACAAAAAAATTAAAACAATTTTTAACAGTTTACACTATGCAACAAATTGTGGGTTATTATTTTGAGTGTGAACCAAACCAAACTTAGACTAGTACTAGTCAATGCCTTGAAGACCTCATTGTAAACTTTACTGCAGAAAGTTTTAAATTAGTTTCGTCAGAGAGCTCACTGATGCTTTAGCCAGAGATAAAGGGATGTCCAACTTAATCCAGCGTAGGAACGCCTCAAAATTAGCGTTTTTTAAACAAAAATTTGCAAACCTTTTTTCCATTATAGCCAGATTAGACAAAGTAAAAATTTTTGCCAATTCAAACAACCAACATTTCCAATTGCTAAAAGTCTAAACATTTTCAATTTTAACAGTTGGCATAGTTTAGCAGGTTTTAACGTTTGGCAATTGCTTTCTTACTTCCAATGAGAGATGAGTTGGGCATCTCTTTATCGCGGTCTTAATTTCCCTGAAATTGGTTAGCGAGGTTTGCGGAGCTTCAATTCTCCATAAATTATTTTGCACAAATTTTAGATGAGCCCCTTAAGATGTTTGTATTGTTATTGTTTATGTAAATTCAGTTTCAGATAAACTTTAATGACTAGCACGAGTCACACTCTTTTAAAATTGGATTGGTTCTCCCTACAAAATATTTATACATTAAGCGTTGCACTGTGTCCTTTAATCCAAAATTAATATGTATAATAATATCCTTAACAAATTCTAATTTGTGCTAAGGCAAACAATTAGTATAATATACATATATTTAAAGTTATCTGCACCGTTAAAGAATTTCTTCAAATTATTTTAAATTTTAAAAAGTTTTTTTTTTGTTTTTTAATTTCATTGTGTGAAGAAATTTGGAAACTTCCAATAGCTTGTGGGACATATTTTTCAAACTGTCAACGCTTTTCGATTAAAATTATCATATTGCTTACTTGTTTCAGGTGATTCTTGAGTATGGTGCCTTCAGGCTCTGGCAGAGCTGGTATCTCCTCATAACCGCCAGTTGGCGGTGATAACTTTGTTGAATCCAAGTCCACAACCCAGATGTCATCCGGCAAGCTAATTATTAAATAAAAATAAAATCAAATTATTTTTCTCCCTTTCACTTTAATTAATGAACTGTAAGCACTTACCGGAAATTCTTTTTGTACATAAGAAATGTTGCCGGCACACCAATCACGAACGGTGTTGGTGCCAGCAACAATTGTTCGGCGCAACTCAAACATGTCGGCAATAACGGTATCACCGGGAACATATACTCTAATGGATAGAGCATTGTGACGAATGCCATTACCGACATGGAAAGCGCATTATAATCACGTGACTGGAAGAGCACTTTATTTTCCAGCATAATCAAGGTCCAGACCTTCAGACACGTCTCAACGCCGAGCAACTCCAGCGGCAAATGCAGCGGAAAGTCGACAAGCGAGAAACGTGTATGATCTGGCAATGCGAAGAGCAGCGGCTCATGCACGGTGGGTGAGAGCACCTCAACCTATGAGTGACCCGTAAACATGTATATATATATATATATATGTATATTAAGTTATTGTTAACAACTATTAAGTGAATACCTCAACTCGTGTTGAGCCCGGCACAGGTACAGGTGTGGAGAGCAAACGCAAGATCCACGTTTCAATCTCGCGTACATCGTGCAACACTATGGACGAGGTAGCTTCGGCGCTGGCATGACCAGTGAGCACCGTCCACACATTGTCACGATTTTGCTTTTGTGAAGCGCCCAAACGTTTGGGCGATGACGACTCATTGCAGGCATCGATCAGCTTCTTGAGTATGAATAGACATTCACGAAATGTCGAGAAGAACGGATGATGTGAGATGATGCATAGCGAGGTGAGCGATTGATTGCGTAGCTTCGTGCGTTTACGTAAGGCACGCGGCGACGGCGAATGGCTGCCGCCCGACTCCGAGTCCGCAGATGGCGCCATCAAACCCAGTTTGGGCACTTGCTGTGTATGACTTTGCTGCTGTTGTTGTGACATGTGTCCGTGCGCGCCATGCGCTGAATGATGCTGATTCGGCGGATCCGAATCACGTCGTGATGTCATTTCACGATCCGAATCACTTGGAGCGACGTTACTTCTGTAGTCGCTAGAAGAAGTTAAGAGGCCGTAACTATTACAAGAAATACGTCGTTTAGCATCATATGTTCTAATGATGTAATGACGGTGTGTTTGTGTTTATGATGAGTATGTGCATGCTAGAATATATATGTACAATTAACTTGCCTACTAAATGCTGAGTCCGAGCTACGCTCCATACTCTTACGCCAGGACTCACGTCGGAAAGCAGAGCTACGACGACCTCTTGTACTTTGTCCCAGTCCAGCCGCACCGTGGTTGCCGCTCACAGCTCCTCGATCCGCATTCGCGGTATGTCGTTCAATTGGTCGATAAAAATTAACACAGATGCCGTAACGGGTCTTGCCGGAATCTTTATCGGTAAGCGCAAATACAAATGACGTCATATCACGTATTGCTGAACCTGTGCGACGCGGTCCTACACTGGTACAACCTTCGGGTTGACAGAAATATACCATGTCGAGGGGGAGTGGAAAGTCACTGTGATCCGAGGGCGGATAGCGACGCAACAATTCCGGTATCTAAAAGTGGTGATTGTTATTTATTAAAAATTGTATCATTGTTTAAAGTCTTAAAGTAGAAAGATCTTTATATGTTATCATTATGAAGCACGTTTAATCTCAGAACTTTTTCGACAAAAAGGTGCGGTGACTAACAAAAGGTTTCAAGACCATAACATACTCTTGTAGAGGTAATCTAATGACTGAGGTCCAGAGCATACTGAAATTATGGAGGCAACACTTCTCCAGCCTGCTGAATGGCAGTGAAATCATAACACCACGAAATGATGGAACAGACGTCCCACTGGCCAACCATGAAGAAGTTCGAATAGCAATTACCCGTGGAGTGTGGGCTGAGTTATTCAAATACGGCGGCGAAGGATTTATAAGCAGCATGCATCAGCTTCTTTGTAGAATATGATCGAACGAAAGCACGTAAAACGATTGGAATACACAAAAGGGAGACCCTACAAGTTCTTTCGAGCGCACTTAGTGAAAGATTAGAGCCCAGCGTCAACAAACTGATTGGACCTTATTAAGGATCTCTCCAAGCCGTTCAATACCAACTAGGTTTCAGATAAGGTGATTCCCTAACATACGACTACTTCAATCTACTGCAACAGTATATAATTCGTGCTGCAAAGCTGAATAGAAAAGGTACACTATTCTACAAGAGTGCACAACTGCTGGCGTACGACGATAACATCGATATCGTTGGCCATAACAACCGCGCCCTTAGTTCTGCTATGTCTAGGTTGGACAAAGAAGCGCAGCAAATAGTTCTGGTAGTCAACGAGGGTAACATGAAATATCTCCTGTCATCAAACGAACAGTCGTCGCATTCACGACTTGGCTCACACGTCACTGTTGACAGTCATAGCTTCGAAATCTTAGATAATTTCGTCCATCACGAAATCAGTATTAACACCAACAACAAAATCAGCCTCGAAATCCAACGCTAAATAACTTGTCCCTTAAGTGCTACTTCGGACTGAGTAAATAAAATCCTTTCTCGTCGAACTCAAAGCTCAAATTCCAAAAGTCACTCATAATCTCCTTTCTGCTATATAGTGCAACGGCATGAATTATTACAACATCTGATACTGTCGCTACAACGACAACAACACGCCAACATCTGATGAGTCGAGTTTTCGGGAGAAAGATTCTGGAGAAGATTTATGGTTCTTAATTAAGAGACAACGGCTACGCTGGCTAGGTTCAGCTTTGAAATTAATCGTCGCAGTAACCTCCAGGGAAAGTAGGGGAAGAGGAAGACCAGCTGTAGTAGAACCTGAAACATGTTTAATTGTTACACTTTCCGACTCACCTGCACAGGAGGCGTTTTATTGCCGGTCAAGCCTTTCGGCATGGGCGGAGTAGTACGTGCACCCACAATAGCCATGTAGTCTACCAACCGTGGACATAACGACAGTTTCTGTTGTTCAGCCATTTTAGACGTCTTTACTTAAAAATGGATAGCCTGTTGTAACCAATGGGGCAGTGGATGCACCTGCAGGCTGCGAAAATTGAGCTTAATATCTTTTTGTTGACTTAAGTGTGGCTGCAAGTAAAAAAAGATAAAGAAAATGTTTAATATCTATCAATATTATTAACAAAAACTTTTCCTCTTAATTTTTTTTATTCATTTCAGACTTCTGAGATTGAAATTCAATCAGCTTTACCATAGGATAGCCCTAAAGATATATGTCTGGCAAAATGGCTAATGAATTAATGCCAAGGCTGCCATCGAACCATTAAAGCCCTTGCAGGCCTTCCATTAGTGCTAAGTTGCTGTGCCAGGCGTAACTCCTTCTATGCGCTGAGTACTTTTAAGCGCTTTTGTCATTCAACGCTTTAGCCTAGTACCTGGGACCCTATAAGGCGACTACATTTCCGGGAGGTAAATAGCGGCTCTTAGTAGGGAAAGGGAAAGGCCCTAAAAGCATGAACAAAACAAAAACTTAAATAAGGACGTGATAGAGGGACGGTACCGAATGTCATGAGCAATATACATATATATTAGGTTGTCAAAAAAGTCTTGCGGTATTTTTGCTGTATTTTTGCGTTATTTTTGCGGTATTTTTATTGAATTTTCAATTGTTCATAAAATTTTTTTTGATGACTCATGCCCAGCTCTTGGCCGATGCTACGGCTGCTACTATGCCGGTSTCTTTCGACCAATTCAGCGATTTCATCGCAATTTTCGACGACAGGCCTCCGGAGCGTGGCGCATCTTCGACCACCTCTACACCAGAAGGAAAACGTTGAAACCATTGTTGTGCGGTCGAAATGGAAACCGTATCGGGTCCGTAAACTGCACAAAATTTATTGGCGGCTTGAGATGCATTTTTGCCTTTATCGTAGTACTTCTGTAAAATATGCCGTATTTTCTCTTTATTTTGCTCCATGTTTGCGACGCTATAACTCACGAATGACTTAAAAGAAACGACAAACACAAACACGTGTTAGCGCGTGAAATGAGCTTTCCAAAAAGGTATAGCATGACACGATGCGACGAATAAAACTAGAACAACGCGCTCTCAGCGCCAACTAGCGAAAATACCGCAAGACTTTTTTGACAATCAAATATATACATATGTATATGTAAATTAGATTTCCTTATCCTTCAGGATAAATTGTGAAAGTTAATCCTCTTTAGGGCTTCATACTGGTCAAACCCCTTGAGCAAAAATTACATTATCAAAAAACCTAACACTTCAACGAACTTTACATCACCTACATTCCTTTATACGAGTATATGCATCACTTACAGCAAAAAACAAATTAAATCAATTGTCAAATTTAATGAACCATTAAAAATTTCAGCCGTCAGTTACTTTTAATGTATTGCCGTTAGCTCATAAATAAAAGAATTATATTACAGCTTCTGGGCGCTCGTAAAATAAAAATGCCTTGATTGCTGCAAATGGTCGATTTCAAAAATAATAACACTAGCTCAGCAGCTGACACACTTGCCCACACAGCGCGTGTCCTTGTGTATTCTCGCATGTCCTGTGCGGCATTCAATTAACGAAGTTTGTTGACTCTTTGTCTGGTTGCAAGCAGGGATCCGTGAACAGGTGGATTACGGCATGTTTGCTGACACAGGTGAACAACATCGTAAATTTTTTAAGCCCACTGTGACTTTTAGCGTTTTAATGGGTTTTATGGCATGACGTTATACTTTTATGTGTAACTGTATGTAATCATCTAAAGTTGCTTTACCTTGGAGAAATATGTTGTGTCAATAAAGACGTCTAGGGATGTAGCAAATTATATCGGTATTAGATGGGTGAATTGAGTTTCTCTTTTGAATTTTGGCTTTCACTTCTATTAAACCTTTGTCAATTTAAAAAGCAGTGAATTTAATGATATTTTGTCGGACTTCATTTGTCATTCACTTTCAGAAGCTTGTATTATTTTTATTACTTTAATAAAGAGGTCTCAACCTAGCGAAAGGGTGGTGTATTGAGGTTGAACTAAATATCAATCCCTCCAAGACTTCAGTAATCCCGTTTACGAGATGCAGGACCCAACCGAGTCTTAGGAAACTCTCCCTGGGGGGTAGTGAGACGCTAGACTCCACGCTGAGGTGGAAGCAGCACGCTAACCTGACCCTGGTCAAGGCGACAAAAGCCTTAATGGTGTGCAATCGGCTGGCAGGAAGGTCCTGGGGTTTAAAGCCAAKGATAGTTAGATGGTTGTACACCATGATAGTGAGACCGATAATCACATATGGGGCGGTAGCCTGGGTCTCAGTAACGTGACAAACATCGGTCAAGACAAAGCTGCTGAAGCTACAGCGGCTTGCCTGTGTATGCATGACGGGCGCAATGCGAACCTGTTCAACGGCAGCACTGGAGGTTCTTCTTGAACTTACTCCGCCTCATTTGGTCATCGGTCTGGTAGCCAAACACACCCTTCTGCAAATAACGGCAGAGTTGGGTGGAAAAGGTAAAGTAGTATCATACCAAAGGATGGAAATGATAGTGGCGAGTTACCAATGGCCCTCCTCCCGAGGAATAGTACTACCAAAAAGGTTAACCTCAGTAAAAAGTTTAAGGTTACCCTCAGCAGCAAAGACGATTGGAACGACTCAAACCTCGAACTGTTGCTGAGGAACAATACTATGATATATGGGGGTACACAGATGGATCGAAAATGTCGGAAGGAATCGGCGCAAGGATTGTGGGCCCACGCAGTAGGCTCCCCATACAGAAGTTTACGCCATAAGCCGGTGTATAGAAATAAACCTCCATCGTAACTATCGCATTGAGCGAATAGCCATTCTCAGCGATAGTCAAGCGGCGCTAAAGGCGATCTCCTCTTACGAGATCAAATCGCTGCTAGTGCAGGAGTGTAGGGAGAGGCTGAATAGCCTTGCGGAAAGAAACCAGGTACACCTAATCTGGGCGCCTGGTCACAACGGTATAGCCGGCAATGAATGGTAGGACCCGAACCCTTTACGGGCGTGGGTCCCCATACCATGAAGGAGTTGCTCCGTAAAGAGGAAAGAGCAGGTAGGGAGGGGTCTAGGCGAGTCAGTGTGAGCAAGGAGAGGGCACAATAGACCAAAGGTCGCAGTGCATCACTATTCATTCATTCATATAGTAGAGGATTTGTCCGGAAAGTAATAGAGCGGACTCGATTTAAAAAAAAATTATTGCACCAATCGTTACAATTCTTTAAAAAAATTCGAAGTAGGCTCCTTCGGCGTTGAAGCAGCGCGATTCCCAAGCATTGAAGGCTTACGAGGCATTCTGCGGAATAGCCTTGAGAGCCGACTTGCATGCTGCTTGGATCCCCTCTGCTTGCCTTTCATCGGTCTTTTCAAGCAAGGAAACAAAGAAAAGTCAGTCTGTCACCTGAGTTACTCAAAAATTTTCTTGGCATTGTCAAAAGAAAGCATTTTATATGTTCGTTAGATTTAACCCATTTCCTTTCTCTGTCGCGTATACGCGACGTTATATTTTAAAACATTCTATGTGCCGTGTGTATGAGAGACCGAGCTAAATTTAAATTTTATTCGGAAGCGATATCCTTAGGCTTTCACACCTTTATATCTGAACCCCTTACAGAACACCTTTCTATATGTGGACATATGTTTGTCAGACAAATTTTGAATCGCTCACTAAAAATAGTCAAACGTATCTCATCGATATGAAGCGACGTTCACAAAAAGGCAAAGAAAAATTACAAATGGTGTATCAATGTAATATTCGTACTGAACAGTTCTATTTATGTGCGTTGCGCACACGCAACATAACGTCACGGCATTTCTAGAAGTCAAAAAAAATATGAATTAATAAATATAAATATATAGTATAAATTTAGACCAAGTTTTTACTAAATTGTTTCTTTTTTAAACGCAAAGATACACTGTTGACCACGTTTGATCGACCCTCTGTACCATCCTGATGCGTCTAGACGACTGGCACGCTGTAATCAACTTGGCTATAACCGCATAAGCGGTGTCTACGTCAGTAAAGAAGAAGAAAATGCGTTTAGCTGAATTAGCGAACTAGCTTAATTCAAAATTAGCCTCTTTAAGCGTATTATGAAAAGCTGAAAGAGCTTCGATGATTTGTATGTCCTCATCTAATAGTTTTCGGCACCATATAGGTGAAATATTTCAACTTCTCATATTTGAAACATAGTCTAAACTAATAATTAATGAGTAATTAAGTTCATGTATGGACATTTTTATATTTGTCAAGAGTATCATAGCTTCATTAATATTTAGCCTTTCTTCCCCAATCCTCACAGTCATTCCCACAACTCATTTATTTCAGTACTAATGTTCATTGAAATAATTTAAAGTAATAGACGTTATTTTCTCTAATTTATTAAGTCCTTTATTGCATTTGTTAAGTTTTAGTCTTAAGAATTTAAGTATGCTTGTCAGTCTAAACACAGCTTAATGAAACGCATTTATGAGAACTGCACTTGAATACTATTACTACACACACGCACACAGCCACACAGGCGCATGCGAATGTATTATGGAAATGTGGCTGCAAAGATAAACGATAACAATGCAATCTAAAAATGAAGTAAGGCAAAAGTGAATGAAAGGAAAATTTGCATGTATTAGCAACACACGGCGTATACGTAACTTAAATTCTATACAAGCCACCACAAACACAAATGAATGCACGCTACACAGCCACATAGCCTGCCAGCCAGACACTTTCGCGACGAATTAAAGAATGCATATTATGCATGCCACCGATTGTGCTGCTCTCCGCCAGTTTTCGCATGTGTGGGTGTTGCTGCAGACGCCTGCAGGAAGCACGTGCTGTTTGACATGCAGCAGTCGCATTTGATGCGTGGTACGTCAAGTTTGTGGGTTGAGCAGTGGCTATTGTAGCATATCCGCTTATGCCACGTACTACCGTCAACATGCAACACCAGCATGGTTGGAGTGAGCTTGCGCCTTTTGAAGTAATGGAGAAGTTGTGTGAATGTTTAAAGGGCATTCAACTTGCCGTGGGTGGACTCAGCTTTGGCTTGTATTGCGCCAGCACATGTTGTGCACCATTAAGTTAAATAGAATTCGTT